TGGCGTCATGCTTCGCGTTATATCGTTTATCGCGTTACATTATTTATCGCCGACACGCGAATCAATCATCGCTTGATTTTATCGTGCAGACGATGACCCGATCGTGGGTCAGACGAGAATTTATGTGGAACTTTACGCGACATATCGCTCATTTATAAGCGCCGAACACGTTGCGCCATGATCGTAAATTGGCGGATAATACCTCCGAGGACGAGTGCCATCATAAAACAACTTGTATGTGTAACCTCACGTGGTGTACATAAGCGCTTCGTCGCGTCGAACGTTAAAGAATTAACGGGCTACTTCCGTCGCAGGTGCCATTTCCGGTGGCGTTACCTGAGCGTCTATATATATGTATATTACAGATCAACGACATTTTTTAATGATTTATTAGAACATTATTTTTACTATAATTAATAAGATAATTTTACTAAGTGAATTTGTAGTCTCAAAATTATATTTTTTATTTTATAATTTTATTTTTTAATAAAGAAACTTATAGATCTATAAAAAAAACGTTAAATGTCATCTTGAATTGAGACAATAACATAATATGAATATGTTTTTACCTTTCGAGGTACCCAATTTTTTTTTTAAATAAGTATTCAATTGCTTCGAAGTTGTTAAGTTTTGTAATTAGATTTAAAATTCTGTAATGAAATAAAAAATTGATTGCTTTAATTACAACTTTAATCAGCAAAAATCTACTTATTTACAAAAACAAAATAAAAATAAAAAAAAGAACTATTCCTGGATTAAGTCTTTCAGAATAGAGGACATTTGGTACATTTTGATTATTTTACTAAAGTAAATAACTCTAAATTATTGTATTACTGTTATTTAACTTGATGAATGCAATTTAATACACCATTAAAATAGCTGTGATACAATATAACATTTTATTTCTTTGTAGTTTTTGAGATATTCAATAAAATTGCGAAGAAGAATCAAGATCCCCAAGTTTCCTCATCATAAAAATATGAAAATGTTACTTGTCGTAAAAATGTAATTTATTTAAAATAACTAATGTATGGTATGTGTATGCGACAAAAAAAATTTACGACGAGGAAAATACCGGCAAAATTTTCAAAATAAATTTAATGTTCAATTTGTAAAAGCATTTGAACGCAACGAGTAAATTACTCGTCGGATTAAGTCCTTAACAAATCTTGGAGAGATCTCTATGATCACTGGCGCGTTGATCACAGTTTATCGCCGAGCTTTCGTCCGAATCAGTTACATGTTTCAGGCTGGACCGCGAACTAATTAATTCCAACGCACCAGCGCGTAAACCTGGATTCATAGCCCGTGGAGAGGACGCATAAATTCGAGTAGAGCGGCGGTAAAATCCCCCTCTTCCTCCTCCCCTCGTTCCGTTTCGAGAACTGTACGTACTTTGCCGAACTTTGATGGTTATGAAGCAGGCTTACCGGGAGGCCTCCGTCCCGAAATGTAATTTTCAGACACTTTATTGCGGTACGTGAAAGTCTATCAAACGTTGGGACTCTCGGACATGATGAAGGTCGCTCTCATAGAAACATATCGAAAATTCCCCTTCAGTGTTACGAGCAAGGAGGAAGGAATGTCGCGCGAAAAAATACGGTTATCGATTAAATTGGAATCGTACCACAATTAAAATGAAACTAACACAAGCATCACAGCAGGTAGTCAGCTTGACAACTATGGCATGCATTCGATTTAGAATAAATTTATTAAAAATTTAATTTAACAGCTATTTTCAATTTTGCGCACAATATGTGCATATGGTATATGTAGTTTTACATTCTGCTCGATAATTGATTGTGCATACTACACAAACTGCATTCTTTCATGAACAATCGATATTATTTATTTCCATAATAAATTGGTATTTTCAAACATTTTTGAAATCCGCTGTTTTTTTTTTTACAAATTTACAAGAAAATAGCATTTCACATAAAAACACGAAAAAAATGCTGTGAGAATTTTGTACACTATATTTGTATAGAAAAGCATCTTACCGTCTTAACAAAAATTAAACATTCATATAATAGCAGATTATGAATTTTACAAGCAATGTCTTCTCACAAACATTTAGATTCTGCTTACCGCGGAGCTATTTCTTTTGGATTTAACGTTTTCTCGTTAATCCAAAAACCTAACGCCACAAATTGCTGCGCCGTAATGGCCGTAACGCGCTTGCGAACCGGAGCCGGTTTGGTAGTGCAAAGTGTCCTTCGCCAGCTTCGAGGACCCGGGACCCGAGCATCCTCCGGCCGGGCCCGTTCGAGCGGAATTGATATCCTTTCCCCTCTCCCCTCCTCCCCCCACCCTGCGAAATCAGTTTCGTAACGAAATACCAGGCTAGCTGTGGGTAAGCACGTAGGGCCAACTTCGCAGATAGCCGGATCTCAGGGAAACGGGCGGAGGGACAGAGGGCGTCGACTCACCTTCGAGTGGGACACCCTTCGTGAAAGGGTGAAGGGCACTGAAGAGGTCCGTGCGATCGATGCATGCAGAAAGTTCCTCCAGCAAGACCGTCGAGGGAGCCGTTTTATTTCCGGTCGCTCGATCAGTAGCGCGCTTCGGTCTTTTCGCGAAACTATTACGTGGCGGCGAGACGCGGCTGCAGGAGGCGACAAGAGTGCCGGGGTTGCGACGGGTGACGGGGGAGGGGGGGAGAAAGGCGGAGTGGCATCGCGGCGGTTGGGGGGGGGGGACGTAATAACTTCGTATAGCATACTATTATTAAACGAAGTTAATTACGATGTTCTTCTTGACACATCTTTTTTTACTTCGCTCTGTTAACTCACTCTTAACTTTTCT